GCTCTCTTCCTCCCCGCGCAGGAAGGGAAACTTCGGGGGCAGGGGGCGGGAGGGCGCCCCGGCGGAGCCGCTGGCGGGAGAGGCGGGTCCGGGGAGCGGAGCAGCCGCCGCCGCCACCTGCCCCCGGCGCGGGCTCAGCCCGGCCGCCTTTGTGCTTCCTGCCGCGGCTCCGCGGGGCGGGAGCGCCGGGCCGGGCGTAGCGGCTCCGCCGCGGCCTTGGCTGCCACGTCAGGGCCGCCGCCCTGCGCCGCGGTGCCGGCGGTGCCTGCGCCGGCCCGGCGGGGACGCAGGCGGGGGTCGCTGCCGGGCCGCCTCCGGAGCTCCGCCGGGCACGCAGGTACCTGCGAGGGGAGGACGTGGCGGGGGCTGCGGGGCTCCGGTGTGGGGCGGCTCCTGGGTGCGGGACCGGGAGCGGAGTGGGCTGTACCCTGCAGCTGCCGCCCCCCGGGCCGGGCGCCCCTGGCTGAGCGGCCCCCGCCCACCTGGGAGGGAGTCGCGGTCGCCTCGGCCTCGCTCCTGGATGAGCTTGTTCTCTCCCCCGTGAACTTCTCCGAGCCGGGAGACGCTTTCTTTTGGGTTTTCTTCTTTTTAAACTTTACTGTGTTCAGATGTTTGCTTTAGTAGTCTCCTCTTTGTTTCATGTATGTATATCCAAGTCCAGCTCGATGGGGTAGGGTATGAAGAGTTTTTTTATGAACTGTATGGGACCAGCCTAGTTTTCCATATTCACCCAGTCTAGGCGTTTATGTGGTGTGGCCTGGAAATAAAAGCAAGTTATTCTAGCCATACGACTGGTTCTGGTCATTGTGCGAAGTGCAGTGGCAACCTCTGCAGATGCAATTAAATGCTTCCTTCTGCTTGTTTAATTGGGCTGAAAATGAGAATTCTGATTCAGGATGTCACTGTGTAAGGAAGATAAATACCAAGTGTAGGTAGCCTGCTTCAGTGTGTCCACTGCTGTGCTTCAGGCAGCAAGTCTCTGTATAATTGGAAGGCTACATATAGGATAACTTCATTTAGTATGTAAGTACTGGTTTGTATGCACATCAGTTTTAAGACTGCTAAGTAAATACCATCCAGCACTTTTTTAGAAATCTTTGCTGTTGAACTGTGGTTAAATATTCCGTAGAGTTAGTGTTGCCTCCTCAGTATAGAACTGGACTGCATTGCAAATGCACAAACCAAAAAGTGGTCCTTGTCCAGCAAGTGACCAGGTCTAAATGTCAGGCAGGAGCCAACAAACAGGTGGTGGATGCTAGGGAAAGAACTCTTTATTTCATTAGCAAGGGTGGCAAGGAAGTTCAGAAGCCGCTTTATCGCTCTGGCTGTTAGGTACTGCTGGGTTTTGTCTTTGAGGGCCTTCTGGAAAAGGAGATCTGAGACAGATGTGGAGGTCAGGCATTGGGGAAGTGTTGTAAGAAATGGGGAAGGCTCTGCTTCTGAAAACTGAGCTAGTAGGAGGTGGAGGGTGACAGGACTGGTAAAATGGAGTTTTCATTGTCTTTCTGAAGGTATGCCTTCCACCTTGCTGGAATTTACCATTGAATTTCTAGAAAACAGTTTTGGAGGACTAGAAAAGGGGAATCCTGGTTCCTGCCACCTTTGATTTGGTATCTTGTGAATCATTGCAACGGAGAAAACTTGATCGCCAACATCAGGTGTTCCCCAGAGCCTCTTCTGGAGCCTGATCTATACTTTAGGTGAGAGTGATGGAGAAATATGATGTGGTAATGTCCCAGTCAGAGTTAAGGGGGTTTTTTTGCAGGAGATATACCTCGGTTTTGCTTTTAATTGTGGCATGTGTTTGTTTTTTAATACAGACATGTTGCATTACCTTCCCAGCTGCGTACTGTACCTTCCCTGCATACTGTGAGCCTGTTATGTACATTTCTTATGACAAACTTAGTATCTTTTGGGGGAAGTTGTAGCCCACCCTCCTGTAGCCTTAGAATTAAGCTGTGGTTCCCACCTGGAAACTTCTGATTAACTCTTTGTAATCTTTCTCTGAAAACTGTAGTCCTTTTTTTTTCCTCTGAAATGGGCATACTTGCTTCCAAGCCAGTCCTGCTGTATATGTAAATCTGAATTTTGAAACCTGGCTTTTAAACAGAAGGCTTGTTGAAATGCTAGCTATGCTCTTGGTTTTTAGCCACATGCTTTCTACATGCCTGGATTTGTTTTTTTTTACTTTAGTGCTGTAGTGCATTACCTTAGTGCATTGACTCTTTCTTCTTGCAGAATTCTGCTCAGTCAACTCTCTCCCTTGCATTAACAAACTGAAAACTACATTTCCATGTCAGCTGTGCGCTGAGGGTTATGGCTGAGAGAACTAAAAGCACTGGGCACAGTTACGTGTAACACGTCACAAGCCCCAATCCAAGGTGTAAAGCAGGGAAGCTGATATGAGGGGTTGTTTCTGCAGCTTGAAGCAGTACCCTGAAGAGCAGCCATTGGTGGGTGTACCTCTTTTGGCTTCATGCTTATTTTCTCGTTTCATTTGGAGAGTAGAGCACTGTTTCAAAAATTTATTGCTTGAAGTATCATTTGTAAAAAAATTTTTTTTCATGTACTTGAAATGCATCGGGTTCATTCATAAATCTGCTGCAGCTGCTGAAAGAGGGGGAGGAGAGCTGTGCATGTGGCAAGGGTTGATTGTTTTCCATCAGCTCCATAGACAAGCTTCCTAACTGGATAGCTGGTGGACAGAAGAAAGACAACTTTTTTTGTGGTGGACTAAGACGAGGCGATGGGTTTGTTTGGATTTCTGTCAGGTGAATAGTTCTAGCGCTGTCTGCTGCTGCTGCAGCTGTCTGGAGCAGCATTATGCTGCCAGCTGGAATTGGCCCCATCCTTAGGTAGTTTCGTTGCTGCCCGCAAATATCCGAGTAGTGGCATTGAAAGAAGGCAGTTTGCACTGGCTGCTGCTTGGGCCAGGTTTGCTCTGCTGAGACAGTAGGGCTTTTTGTCTGTGAAGTCAGAAAGACATCAAGGGCATCAGCTGAAACTCATGAAGTTACTCACAAGTCTGTAGTGGTTAGAGCCCACTTCTCAATAGAAGGCTAAAACTTTACAAGTTGCTGTCCAGGGCTCATTAAGTGGTTCTGTCTTAACATGGATTAGCATGCTTCATAGCAATCCTCATGGCAGCACATGGAGCAAGTAAGATTATCTCCATTGCCCAAAAACACAGAAGGCATCAGTGTTTCAGTGAGATAAATCTCATAAAGTTTTGGCATCTTAAGGCCATACCAAGAATACTTCTTCCATGCTGTGGGATTTGTATATGATTCCCACCATACACTCATGGCAGGTATGTGACAGTAGCACTGTTCCATCAGATGTCATTAACCTTCTGCCTTTCTCACAGGTGTATGCAGAACACTTTTGTGGAAACAACTAACTAGAAATCTTCACGAAGGAATATATTTGGTAAGTTTTACTTTAATCAGTTTTTATGTGAATGTACGTACGGCTGTACCACTACCTCTGGAGCTTCCTGACGCTTTCATTCAGGGTCTTATAACACAATGTTATAAATAGCTCCTGATTTAAAAATCCTATCTTAAACAATTTGGGGTTTTTTACAACAGTGTAAAACATTTAAGCTTTCTGTGTATTTCATATTCTGACAGTATGAAAGTGTGTTTTCTTTCAAATCAATTGGAAAAGTGACTTTCAGTTCTACCGTTTTTAATATTTTTTTTTTATGAAGGTTTTAATTTATTTTAATATGTTAAGAAAGATGAGAAGTTATCCCTTATCTCTTGAATGACTAGCACCCTCCTAAATACACAGGGGGTGAAAGCCCAGAAGTAGTTTACATTCATCCCTGTTTGAAATCTCTTTTAAGATCTGGGTTTGCTTCCACTTCTTAACATGAGAAAACACAGATGAAGAAGGAAAATGAAGTGTGTCATTCATAGGCTGGACGTCTGTTTCATGAATGAGTTCTGCCAGGCCACATAGAGATCCTACCTCATTCCATGTGATCATTTAATGCAGATGTTAAATAAAGCTCGAGGCTTTTCCCCAGTGACACAAGTCACTGTGAATTTGGCATCACAGGATAAAAACACTGAAGAAGGATGTCTTTGCTTGCTTTCTTTTTTTCCTTTCTTTTTTTTGGCCAGTCTTAGCATACTTTAAAGAAGATTTTGAAAAACATATCAGAAAATTTCCAAAGTTCAAGTTTCTGATAAATCTTTGCCTTTTTGCATATGCTTGCAGTACTGGCAATCTTTGTGACTAATGGTCCAGTGCATATGGGGAACTTTGAATCTGCAGCTTCCAAGTATCCAAAGTTTCTTAACCAGTAGCATGTCTGAATGACCTCACTGTCTGCACAAAAGTCTTATAGTTGCACCTCCAGATCAGTGCCTTAGTTGTTAGCTGAGATGTAATCTCTGTTGGGTCTCATGAATTTTGCTTTCTTCTTCTTTGTGGGGACGCATCTTCAGCAGGAAGCGCAAACAGGAACCTCCTTAGGATACACTGCAGTCCCCCTGTGATCAGGGGGCTCTGATATAAAGTGGGACATACGAGCCTGGATCTTAATTGACAAAGGAGGCATTGAATTGTAGGTGAGTCCTTTCACCTTGATGGTATTGTAAAATATAGCAAGTGGTATCTGCTTTTCTAACTCAAATTTTTGAAGAAAAAAATTATATTCCTGTCCTCTTTGCCTGAAGACTGGACGAAGTAATCTGCCTCTAAGCAGTTACTCCAGGCCTTTGACCTCCAGTCAGTAGAATTGACCTCTAGTCAATACTAACCTTAAATCTCTGGAAGGGAGCCAGGTTTGAAACATACTCCTGTGCATAGTATTTCCTGTTCACCAGATATGCACCCTGTTTAGCACACAGGATTTTTGGATCACTTTTCAGTCTTTCAAGTCTCCTGACATGTTAAATTGGATACAAGGATGCATGACACAGACTGTAAACTAGATATCTGAATATTTTCTGCAGAAGTCCTTTGCTGGATCTTGGTCTTGATCCTGTGATTCACTGGAGCGCTTCTACAGAAAAACAAAAAGACTTTTCTGACAGTGATTGTGATACTGTTTCCACTTGCACTGATGTCGTAGGTGAACAGTGAGTAAAACCTAGTACAGGCTGGTTAGGCACATCTCTTGCAACATCATAGAATTATCAAGGTTGGAAGAGACCTTCAAGATCATCCAGTCCAACCATCCACTGGCACCTGTAAAACCACCCATCATACAGTAGTTTTCAACTTTCTGATCTGCAAAACCCTGAAGGCTCCCTTCTGTGTAGAACAAATTCAATCCTACCAAGAGTGACCTATTTCCCATAGCTGCTCTTCTCAAGCCTGTAGTTCTCCATTGCTTTCTGGGGTCTGAGAGCGGCAAGTTAGTGGCTGTGCTGTGGAAGACAGACAACTGTGATCTGTGTAATTGTGAGTGAAGTATTTCTGTTGCAATTGTTAAATCGTTGCTTTGGTCATTTAGCTTTGCAGGAGCTGAAAGCAAATCTAAGTGTCTGTCTGACTAGATTATGGAGAGTTAAGAAAGCATCTTTTACCTGTGTTGTCTGCCAGTCTTTAACTCTTTCAATGAACAGATCTGGTCTTAATTGTACGATGTTGTACCCTAGTACAACAGATTCTTGGAGCTTCATGTGGGCTGTATCTGCTGTCAGTGCTGCTGCATCCAATACCTTCTTAACAGCAGAAAGTACTAAACCTTGTGTGTAGCCTTGTGAGCGTTTCTAGTGTTCTTGCCGTGTCCAAAACTGGTTACTTATTCCAGCTTCTCTCTGAACTTGTTGATGATCCCTGACAGTGTTTTCTCTGTCCTCATGAGATTAAATAACTTTTGTGAGCCTTTGCTGACAGAAATATTTTGGAAACTCAAACAGGTAATTTCTTCTGGGGTTCTTTTAGGAGTTACATGCTGGCTAGATACAAATATATTAGTGGAGGTTGTTCTTTGTAAAAAATAAATTATCTCTTTACTCATTGGTCTCCCCTGAGTCTGCTTTAAAACTCTTTTGGTCACTTTTTTGTTCCATTGTTTGAATTAAGACTTAATAGGTTCTGAATTTTATTGTACTATTTTTAGGATTTCCCCTACTGCACCAAATCAACTCCTTCCAAATTCCTGACAGAGCAATCATCTTAATGACCAAAATGGTCACATGTCAAGTAGGAACATAGTTGCTTCATCTTGGTACAAATATTTTGATCTGCTAATATCAGGGCTATCAGTTTCTTACTGCATCTGTCTTTTCTTTCTTACAGTGCTTTATATTTTTGTTTCATGTGCTTAGTCTTCCAACTTGATGTGTTGCTACTTTACATCTTCCTGGTGAGGGGAAGAGGAGAAGAAGACACTGATCTCTCTGGTGTCAGTGACAGGACCCAAAGGAATGACATGAAGCTGTCTCTACAGAGGGTTAGGTTGGATATTAGGAGAAGGTTTACCCAGAGAGTGGTTGAATACTGGAACAGGCTCCCCAGGGGAGTGGTCACAGCACCAAGCCTGACAGTTTGAGAAGTGTTTGGACAATGCTCTCAGGCACATGGTGTGATTCTTGGGGCTATCCTGTGTTGGGCTTCGATGATCCTTGTAGATCCCTTCCGACTTGGGATACTCTATGATACTTTCCTATTTCATGGCTTACATGTTTGCATTTCTGGCTTTTGAGCAGTACTCCTTCAGCATTTCCATGGAGCTGGCCATCCTCATAGTAGGTATTTTTGCTTGCTTTCCCATTCAGCTTCATGTGTAAAGGTACCCACGTTTTCTGAGTTGTGAACTGATATTGGTAGAGCTGATTGTGAGGAATCTTTAATATTCAATTTAGGCTTGCTTCTCATCCAGAGGTCTATGATTTAGCATGTGGGTGCCAGTTTTTACTGTGATGTTTTGACTTCATAATTATACTGTGAGAGTTTCAGCTGTTGTTTTCCAGGTGAGTGTTCCCACCTGCTTCTGCATCCTCATTCCTTCTTCAGATCCCAGCCACTGCTTTCTCACCCAGAGGAGGTACAGAGGGATCTCAGCACAGCAAGAGAGGTTGGAATTATTTTTGTGGTGATCATTGACTCCTAGAAGAAATGAAATTATTTAAAGACATGCAGGGAAAAGGGAACTAAAAGGTCACTGGCAGGAAGATAGAAGGATACTGACTGGTCTAATGCAACTTATTTTTTCTTTTTGTCATCTTGATGCCTGCTGAGGAGGGAAAGCAAGATTAGCAGGAGAGCTCAGGAGAAGAGGCAGGACTTAATATCAAGGCATGCTTTGGTGGGGGAGGAAAGCAGGAAGGAAACGTGGACTTAGGTATTGCATTTTTCCCCTCCAGAAAGAAAACTCAGCTCAAATCAGCAGCTCCACTTACTTTCTCTGTGCTTCCCCTCACTGTCAGGGACTCCTGCTCTAGAACTGCTCTAGGAAACGGCTTTTGGTGTAAAGAAATCTTTTCTGAAATGTTTTCATTGGGCAGTTTTTGTGTAAAGTTAAAACAGTCTAGTTCTGCTGCTGTCACTACACGATTTATGCAGTACTGCGACAAGATAAATTGTGTGTTTCCGTTGCTGTTCTTCCATCTTGTTTTCATGGCATTTGTTCAAATTGTGCTGCAAGGACTTGTTTCTTTAAGCTATTGCTTTCCAGGTACCTGCAGATCTTAAGGCATGCTGCTGTCATTTCTCTAGCGTCCACCGTCTCTGTGAACACTTGGCTTTTCCTTTTCACTACATAAACATAAGCTGTTATATGGCAGAGGCTGTTTTGTTTTCATACTGGTTGTCTTCCTGATTGCTTTTCAAGTTCACGATGTACTTGGTGTGGGGTGGCAGCTCTCACCAAGCCTGCTGATGTGGTGGAGGGCTCCACCTTGAATCTGGTTGAAGAATGCAAAAGCACAGATAAAAGAAAGAGCAGCAGTTTGACAGGAGCTGCTAGCTTATCTAGTAATGAAAAAGAAGTTCATTTTCTGTGGAACTGAAACTACTTGAATTTTGGATTCGTGGATTAACTTATGCTTTGCCAGAAGAGATGTATAGCATATGTGAATTTCTTTTTTTAGGCAATAATGAATCAAACGGACAAAAATCAACAGGAAGTCCCATCCTACCTTCATGATGAACCACCAGAAGGTATGTACTAGTTTTCATGATCTGAAGTAAATTAATCAGAAGTTCAGTTCTCTCTTTAAAAAATGGAAAATGGATCTGGAAGCTTTAACTTCCATTTAAGTAACAGTAAACAAGCCAACCCTGCATTGGGATGGACCTGGATTATTGTTCACTCCTGCATTATCCTGATTACAATAAGGCCACTGAATATAACTCAGTAAACAGCTGTACCTATAAATTATAGAGAAGATGGGCAGATACTGAAGGACTTAATTTGTAGATTAGTTTCCAGAGATATGAATTGGTCTTATGGGTGTTTATTTGGGAAGAGCCCAGCTTCACTTTTGGACACCTTGCTGTGTTCATAGTGCTTGTGACTTTTAAAAAAGATGTGTTTAAAAATATGTAGAACTTTATTACCACTTTTGGAGACCCTTTTTCATCATACAATTAACTGTGGTTCTAACTGCTGACAATCTCATGGTTTCATAAAAACAAACACGCACTTGACTTCATTAATGCAGTGACATCTTGATCTCCTGAACCAAATGAATCATAAATTGGTTATTAGATCTGCAGAGGAAATGCAGTTGCAAATGAGCAGAGTTCCTTCCAGGCTGTGGACTGGCAGATTAGTGAAGAGTCCTGTTTGCATAATGTGACTTGAAGCATACTAGATCAAAAGCCATTCTTGGCACATAGGTTATTTATGTTGTCTGCGCTTGCTTTAAGACTGAATGTGTTGGACATAGAGGTCGGTGAGTCATGATTCCTCTCTGTTTATAACTGCCCTTTAAAGCTCTGTTTGTTTGTTGTTGGGTTTTTTCCCTCAGCTTTTATATATTGTATAACTGAACAATTTACTTCACTCAAACAACAGTATTATCCACTAACTGCAGTAGAAGGGATTGAAATGGAATAGCTCCCTCTATTCTTAACAACTATAAGGCAAGAAACACTAAGTACAAGAAGATGAGAGGAAAGGGAGAAATAGATTTTCATGGCACAGTGATTCTTCAGCTCTCCTATACTTGAACTTGTTAAAAGTATCATGGTGTGAGGACAAAAAATCTTGCTTCTTAACTTCTTATGGTATTGTCAAGATCTCAGAAGCATTTCTGATAGCAAATGCCAGAGTGGAAACTATGCCCTAATATGTGTTATCTTCAGGTCTAATTTTTAAGTCCAGGTTTTGTTTGCTTATTTGGGTTTTTTTTCCTTAAAGATCGAATTGTGTTTTGTACATATTAAACCTCATGTATAGAAAGTGAAAAGTGGTCTGAAAACTACAACTGATTCTTTGAGTAAGGCAGTGAAACAAGTGGGCATTTTTTCTCTTCCTAGAATATTCACTAGGTTTTCCAGATTCAGCATAAGAGCAGAATTTGATCATTGGTTATTGCAAAGTTTCATTTAAAGTTTATGATCAGTTAAATATCTTATTCTGCACATTTTCTTATTTTAGTTTGACAATAACCAGTTTGAATATGAAGTCTAAATAGATGGAGAAAATTGATGTAGTTAGAGGAAGTAGAATGAAACACAGCTTATCTTAATGTAAACTCCATCCTTGAAAAGGCTTTTTCCTTCTGATTCTGATGCATATGCACTCTTCTAGCCTTAGGAGTTCAGTTAAAATGTTGGAACACCCTTGAAGAACAACTGGGTTGGAATGTCGTACAAGGCTTCATATGATACACTTACACCATCATAAAAAGATGGCCAAATGTGGATGGAAGGCTACTAGTTCAATGCTGGCAGGAAGATCATCTCTCTGAACAAGCGGCCAAAATACTCCTTAGAGGAAAGGCTCAATTCCAAAACCAATTTGCAGCTTTTCGTAAAGATAGAAGTAGTTCTAGTCTGTCCAAATCACACTCAACAAGCTTTGTGCCCAAAGGCTCTAAAGAATGTGTGGAAGAAGTTTTTGTGCTCCTGCTTTTTTGAGTAGTGCTATTCTGATGCTGTATTTTCTACTTTGCAAGCGGCGCCAACCTTTGCAACCTAAGTTCGTTCAAACTCTTGTTAGTTGCTGGATTCCTTTCAGCAGGAAGCTGGCTGCCAGAGAGCCTGATAGAGCCAACTCCCGGACAGGGAACTTTTGTCATTTTCTCCCTCAATTTAGGAATGATCTGGTTTACCTTCTTTTTCATACTGTTTAGAAAAAAGGGGACCAGGGTTGTGTATCCTAGAACAGAAATCAACTGGCAATAAAACTTGGCAGCTGTGGGCGTTCATGAGACCTCATGGACAATGCAAACAGGATGGAAGTCAGAATGTGTCAACCATTACCAAAGTTATTTATACACTGTTGCAGTCTGTATTTACACTTGTGAAATAGAGTCAAAGGATTGGCTACCTGAAGTAATGTGAGGAAAAACACATTAAGATTACTTTTTTTGTTTCTCTCTTGTTATTGATAAGTTAGTGATGATGGATCATTTCTTGCTGACATCAGATCTGATTCACTGAAATCAACTCTTACAATTCAATGTGATAAAACTTTACTCCTCTTTCACCCTGATGATAATGAAGCAGTTAGGTGGAAGCAAAACACTTTCTGACCAAATCTGTTATAAGTTCTGTAAGTCTGGTCACAAGAATCCTCTAATGAATAATGCCTAGACATTGGATTTTGTAGCAGGCTCTGCATACTCCTTTCCAAGTGTGAGTCTTTAAAGCCTTTCTGTATGTACAAAGAAATTCTGATCTCTGTGTGTTTGTGTTGGCCGTGCATTTTTGCTGAAGATGTCCATGTTGAAAGCTGCTGGCCTAGAATGAGCCAGCAAGGTATTACGTGGCTTTAAGTAAAAGGCTGTCATTTCTGTTTTCAGTTTCTGTTCATTACCTTTTCTGTTATCTATATCAATTTCTTAAATAAGAGACTACTGTAAGCTGGAAGCACTTCCAGTATTTTCTGCTCCCTTGAGCTGCACTGTTGCTCTGTATCCCTTTTTTCCTTTTCGTCAGGCTTGTAAGAAATCCTCTCATTTAAGTGGCATCTTTTGTTTGAATTATTCCAGGCGTGCACACAGGAGCTCTGAACTTCACACTGAGTTCTGAGTCAGTCCTGGCATTATCACAGACTCATTAGCAGTGCAGGGAAAGTTGTTCACCCTGGGTTTCATCTTGTAGAGATGAGTGTTGGTAGGTGATACTTGGAAATTGTCCTCTGGATGCAAGTTGTCAGCAGTCAGGGCACTGGAGACAGACTTGTTCTGCTGGCTCTCCTAAGGCATGTTGCAGTGAAAAGTCAGTGTGTTGACAGGGCTGGATAGAGGTCTCTGGTGGATCTAGATCTGATTTTTCTTTTCCGCTATCCCTCCAGGCTCGTTGTCCTTATCCAAGTATGTTATTTCTGCTGCTGACTCCCTCACCTCTTTATTTCATGTCTGTTTCTTCCCTAGCTCTGCCCGTTGTAGTTCCACTTGCTCTTCTTTTTTGGTTTCCCCTGTTGTTTTTTGTGAAGAGAGACATGTTAAATCCCATATGTTATCTACAGATAGCTAGAAAATAATTTTAAAAACCCAAATTCAAAAAACTGTGCAACTCTTAACCCTGGTTGTGTTCACTGGCTGAATCTTGCCATGGTTCTTTCTGAAACTTTTTTTTTAAGAAGTGGTGAGGTATTGACAAGAGAGGAGCTGAAAAACACTTACCTGAACAATGTTGTTGTGAAGAGCAGAGGTTTCCCCCAGGGTCACGTGGAAGACACTTTGCAAACAAGTGTATTTTAGGGCTACTGGTTTATAGATGCAGTGGCTGATATTTTCTTATGTGCTCAAATACCACATTAACATACTGTTTCATACTGCTGTTTCTTTGAAGATTGGATGATGCTTGTGCCATAGCAGGGAGCGGAATTGCAGTCTTAATACCCTTCAGGGGCAAGGTGCACGTATCTCTTAGGATTTTGATGCTTACATTAGAAATATAAAGTAATTCTGGAACAATTGGAAGGCAAAGTGGCTAATTCCAGAGGTCTTTCTATTACTCTAATACTTTCTATTATTTTGAGGCTGTGTAATTGTACCGTAAATATGGAATAGGAAGTGACCTAGAAAGCACATAGCATGAAACTGCACAAAATACAGGTTAAACATAGCATTAAGAAGAAAAATTCTTGTGGTCAATAATATGCAGAAATCCTACGATTTGAGACTTGGTTTTGTGCATATTGAAATTTCTGTTGGGAGCCTGTAACTCTTGCTATTAATGCCTTTGGGGACCACTTTTGGTATTTAAAGAGCTTATTTGGCACTTCTCACATAAACATGCCTCTTCTGTAGCCAATTTACAAAAAAGACCCTTTTGGAATAAACTTAAATTTGTATACAGGATGAAGAAAGGAAGTGATACAGAAGACTTGGCATCAGTTTTGTCCTCATGCTTCTTTTGACAACTCTTGATTGCTCTCATTTGTAACCTTCTCATTCCTGACCTCTGCACAGAACCCCTGTAAGCACATCTTCAAAACAGTAATTACTAAGGAAAGAAGTGACCTTATCTCATGGTGCTCTTTTCAAAGAACAGCTCTTTGTTTAATAAACTTTTGCCTCTGTTTTACCAGGAATTTTTTTCCAACCTTGTCTTAGAGATTTGAACAGCAAGGTGGTGCTGCTGCCCTTGAGGGTCCCCCCTCTGTGGGTTAACTCTTAACATTAGGATGGAGGCCATAGGAGGATGTGTCATTTCTCTCCCATTATAAAGGCCAGAAATGAGGCTGATTTGGCCATGAGACTTTCCAGAGTCTAGGAAGGTAGTGGTACATACAGAGGACAGAAGTTTATCGTGTAAGACACTCTGGAAGTCATATGCCTGATATTTTTAGACTCAATATTGACTTGTGTGTTAGAAAACAGCACTGAGGAATGTCTTGCTGCAGCAAAGTATCTTTTGTTATTTGGAAGTAGGTGTTGTAGGAGCATCCAAGAAGAGCAGCCTGCAAGGTAAGTGTATGCTGTGTGCAGTGTCTGTTAGTCTAGAAATGGAAATACTTATGAATAACTGTTCTTTTGAAAATGCTTTAGTCATAGCACTGAGGCTGATTTGTTTGTTGTTTCTTCCCTTAGGTTCACTAAAAGACCACCCGCAGCAGCAGCCTGGGGTGCTTTCTCGTGTGACTGGTGGCCTCTTCAGTGTCACAAAGGGAGCTGTTGGTGCCACAATTGGGGGTGTTGCTTGGATTGGAGGGAAGAGCTTGGAAATTACCAAAACAGCGGTCACATCTGTGCCTTCAGTGGGAGTGGGTCTAGTCAAAGGAAGTGTTTCTGCTGTAGCTGGAGGCGTTACAGCTGTAGGATCTGCTGTTGCAAGTAAAGTGCCTTTAACAGGAAAGAAAAAAGATAAATCTGACTAAAACCAAAACTGAGACGTACTCAATTCTCCAGTTACATCAGTGGCATTAAAATCTGCTAAGATTGGGACCATGAGAAGCCATGTGTCTTAGACACTTTATCTTCCAACGAGTTGTGCAAGTAACTCGATTTCATCTGAAAAGGACAGAAGAAGCTTGGTTAGCACAGCATAAGAAGATTTATTAGAGCCTAGATTGAAGCTTTGTATCTGGTGAAATGTTACACTTGATAACTATAGAAGTGAGTAAGTGTATCTGAAGGAATAATACATATTTGAATATTCATTTACTGTAAGTCTTCTGCAGTTTTGGACTAAAATGTGAACATAGAAACCTGGTTATCTCTGCTGTACCATTGATACAATGAGATGCCAATTCCTGTTCTCAGTGGTTTCCACATGCTCCTGCTAAGGATCCTTCAGCTGTGTAAAGGCATTGTTGGATATACCCAAACAGTCTTGGTTATGAACCTGTATTTTTAGGCAGCCTGTAAACTATCCCTGACAGCACTCTGCCAGTGCAGACTGGAGCAAATAGAACTGAAGGTGTGCAGAAATTGGAAATGAGTGGGAGATAGAAGTGAAAAAGATTGACAGCATGGTAGAAGAGATCACAAAGAGTAAACTAACTTAATGCCTTATTAGAAAAAATATCTTTACTACGTGAAGCTGTGTAAAGAACTGTCCTGTCATTTCAGTGCAGTTCACAGAATGAGCTTTAGACTCTTTACAAACCCTGATATCTGAAGCTTTTTGTCAGTTTTTACTGAAAATATTATTGCTCCATCTCAGGTGTATTTAATGATATTCATCTATCTCCTGCAAGTGAAAACTTGCTTCTAATAAACTTTTTATAGACACTAGAAAAAAAGATGGCTTAATGGAAACTGGGCTGATGTTTGTGGCTATCTAGCACAACTGTCTTACTTGCTGGAAATTCCTTTGTATAGTTGGAAACCACTGAAGAATTAGCAAAGCTGTTGTCTCAACTCCATGATGTGCCAGGTTGGCTTCTTGCTCTGTTCAAGCAAATGCAAGGAATTTTTCACTACATCTCTTTCTCATACTTTACATTTTGATTTTTGAGTAAAATGTAATACTTTTATTTAAAACAAACCAAAAAAGGTAGATGAGGCCTTAAAAAAAAAAGGAGAGAAAGAAACATCATTCCAGTAATTTGTATACTGACAGATTCCAAATATTGACACACCTCAGATGGGAACATCTGTAGGTCCTCTGCAACGTGTGAGGCAAAGTGCACTTGTAAAGACACAGCTTGAGGTTGCCTTAAAATAGAAGCTGTTGATGATCTTTTATTTGTGTACTGACTTTGCAAATAAGTAACCTCTTTAGAAGCCCATAGAAGGCGTCTGTTCATGTCATGTATGCAGTATTTTCTACAAACTTGTGTTCCTATGGAGAACTTGTAAGCTTACTTTTCCAGTGTCTGTGGTTGTACTAGAAGGATATATGGGGAGACTTTTTAAAAATGAAAAAAAAAAAGAAACATATCGCTCGTCTAAAACTTAGTCCTCTGTTCGTGGTTGTCAAATGTGCACTATGTCTAAATTATGGTACAGTAGTCACCCAATCTCTCTGAGCCATTGGTACTTCAGCTGCACTCTGTAACTAACAACTTTATTTTATATCAGTAATTGTGGGTGTTGGAAGCATGATACTCATAAGCATGGGAACTTGGGGTGCTGGGAAGAGCATCTGCCCCTTCTGTTAGATGCACCAGCTGCTTGGTTCTGATCTGCTGCAAGGGTGTAACAAGGTAAGTTTATGCAACAACCTGAAGAGTTCAACTGGGTTTTATACTCAAAAGCTAATTGCATAGAGTGTAGTATGGTTTAAGGGTACCAGTTAGCTCTGGAAATGAGCTAGCCTGGGTATCCAAGGCAATCTAGCTGCAGCATATAATTTAGTATGGTCTGCTCCTCCACAGTTTCCAATGTAGCCATATCCCCAGAGTGCTGCCACTGAACTCCTAAGAGTCACAGTGGTATTTGTGACACCAAACTAAACCCTTCCTGATAGTTTTCTGAAAACATGAATGTTGAACTGATCATACCCATTTTTTTTAATTATATTCTTTAATTGTTAAACTATGAAATTTGCAGCAAAACAAGTGTGATCTGAGATAAACAATGTTAGATCTGTAAAGAGCTGCCAACACTTCATGTTTTGTTCATAACATATCCTGTAGCTATTGCTTCTGAGTCTTGTAACTGAAACACTTTTACATGGCATATGGTTTTAGTTTTCAAAGAGCTTTGTCCTATATCCTGTGTATTTTCCATTCACTTATGAAATTTGCTTGATCTTAAGAACTTGGCCCGATTCTGTCCTGGCACTTGTGAAACATTAAATTGTTGCTGTTTCAGACATTTGAAAGCTTCCTTAGTTTTGTGGAGAAGGACATACTTAGGTATAAATCTTCCCACAGCATTGTGCCCCAGAGTGTCTTTTATCTGCATCTACCTAGTGCCAACCAGCTTTTAACAAAAACTGTAACTTCACTGTGTAAGTTGTTCACAGACACAGCACAAAATCCCTTGCACTAATTTTCTTTTCAGTGAGGCTCGGGAGTACCCACTTTTAAGATCATAGTGAGCTGAACGGAATATGGAACTTAAATTTTCAAGGGGAGTGGAGTCGTTTTTGTGGTGGCTTTTATTTTTCCCAGCCCCCAGTTCAAAATGGGAAATGTTTATGAAGGCACCTTGTATGCCTGACTGCTCGCTCTGTAACAAAAGGCCACATCTTTCTGTGCCAGACTTAAACAGTACAAACTGGTTCACGTTCACTGTGAGTAATGACAAGAGATGAGGAAGTGGATTTCAGCAATACAATGTTTTGGTGATTGGGAGGTTCCCTGAGGTTTTATTACAAATGAATCCTGTGAAAAAGAGGGAAACAGGTCCCAGGCATAGAGTTATGAATGACTGACTGAATTTTCATCTGGCGGTAGAGAAAAAAGAGCATTTCTGCTCATGGTTGTGTTTTGAAAAGGGGGGAGGAGAAATTGAAACATTCAGAATAGAAAATTATTGATTACTCAGGCCATGACTCACTTAGGGAAATGTGTCCTTTTCCTGTTGTGTTGCCACTGAAGATACTGTAAGTGATGGGAATCTAAGCTGTTTCAAGAACTTTAAAAACAGATACCTGTAGAAATGCTGAAACTTCAGGGAAAACACTGTTCTAAATTTTGGGTTCCTTTTCATCCTAAACCATCAAGCTCAGTTACAGATTGTGTTATGAACAGCTTCAGAGAGCTGAAATGCCCTCTTGTGTCTGAGGGGAAGGAGGCTTTTGAATTCAAATAATACTGTGGTCTGCTTAATAGCTGAGCACGGAAAGACAGAAAGTGACAAAGGCAAGTTCCTGTGAATTTGTGATATGGCTGTCTTTCCAGTTTCCTCCTAAAAACCTACAATGTGTTTTGAAAGAGTTGGCAAAGATGCAGGCTGGTAACACAGCCTGACTTTTTTCATGGTGGGGATATGTGCCCCTTCTTAAATTCTCCCTACTGTTGCCCACGCTCCTACAGGAGCGGCATTTACCCGCACAAGCTGCTCTCACGTCCGTGCTCTCGCCTGCAGAGTGGTGAGTTTAAGACCTTCAGCTGCTGAGATCTTGGCACTGCTCTCACCAGGTGTTTCCAGCCCTTTCCAAGCTCACAGCAGATAATGTGGCAGACTATATAAAATCATCGTCTTGCAGCCCGCCCTCTAAACCAGCAATTTAATACCCACTTTCTTCAGCAATTTAAAACTTCACTTTAAGAAAAGGAAGCCTGGACTTGCTGCCAAAATGTGTGTTAAAAATGACCTTGAAGAATGGCCTGGAATGAGGGGGCTGTGTAACTGTTTTTTCTCCTGCTGTCAAGAGGGAATGTGTGTGGAACAGTTGCTTAGGAAAGTCTTTCTGAGAAATAAAATCACCGATGATCCTAATTCTATTGAGATAATCGTCAGTGATGCTGCTACTTTATATTACCATTCACAGCCTGTAAATGAAAAGAAATCAAATCCCCTGAGAACTTAAACACTGTCCGATAGTTACTATTTTGAAAGCCAGCACTTGTCAACAATTATCATTCGGTGTTATCTGAGAAGCAGTGCCACCCATATATTTAGAAACTGTGGCAGCTGTTTGAAAATCTGGTAGTCATTTTTAATCACCAGTGGTTTACAGACTAGAGTTTTGTTATACCTAATATAAAACCATGGCTTTTTCCTTTCTCCTGCCATCACTTGAGACTAACCTCAGTTTCTCCCTAATCTTTCCTGTCCCCAAACCTTGCTAGAAGAGAAACAATTAAGAACTAGCAATAAATGGTTTTCCTCCTGCCCGATTTTTTTTGCAAAAGAAGTAAATTTTGAAGTCTCAGAAATGTAAAGGAGGTTGTCTTGTAGTTTCTTTGCATTATGATTTGTACACAAACATATTAGAGTCTCACTGTAGCAGTCAGTGAGTAAAAAAAATTATGTCCTGCCCCTGTGCTCAAACTGCACTCTCTGGCTAGGCTTTCCTAACCAAAAAATCAAGTCTGTTGCAGGTCAGTATCCAGGAGCTAGAGCTACTTACTGCAGCAATAAGGAATGGAACTCCAAGAGAATTTCCTGAAGTCAGTGAACCAGTGGGTTGCTGAACACTGCTGGAAAAATAACCCTCCATTTGTTGTTCTCAGACAAAAATTGTGCTAATCACTACCACAGGATGGTCTGTGCAGTGACAGAGCTGAAAATCCAAAGCAGTTAATGCCCTGTCAGGTAAGAAAATGTAACATGTGAGATACTCTCTAGAGTATCTCATAACCAGGTTCTATGACATTATTTGAAAGCATTAGAAAGCTAGAAGTGTATAATGAAGTTGTGCCTAAAAACCACTCCAGGACAAAGTACAGCATAAGACTACAGTCTGGTTAAGATTACTTTTGTTTCATCTCAAAAAACCAACTTTTATTTTGCATAACTTGAAGTACAGCATTCAAATTAATCTTCAATGTGTATAGGGGCAACAGGATTAAAAATTGGTCTTTCCTTCTTTGATTGTATCTTACCATAAGTGACTTCAAAATCTTTCTTTGTACCATTCAAGCTTTCTAGATTTCCACTCTTTACATCATATCCTAGTGCAGAGAGCTTTTTAATTCGGTACTGAACAATTTGTGTTGTCAACTCCAGCACCATTGGTGTCTCTCTAATCTGTGCTACAGAAATTCCTTCCTTCAGTAGTCCTTCAAGTCTTTCTTCCAAAACTGGAACAGAATAGTAGAGGAGGGCTGGGCATTTCAGCACTAGTTCTTTTAGTTCTTGATCACTGCAATTAAAGACATTTTTGGAAAAAAGCATACTCTTCTGCATAGTAGTAGAATTAAGTTGAAAAATGAAGCCTTTAAGTTTAGACAGCAGCTGTAGAACTTCATGGTCAGTGAAGTCATTCTTCTGGAGAAATTCCAAGTTCTCCTGGATTGTGGTGGAGGTATTTAATAAAATAAATGGATTTTGGCTCAATAGTTTCAGTATCCAGATCTTCATATTTGCTTCAGAACCTCCTAAATTTAAATAACTTCTTTGTAATGTCTCTATCATGTTTTTGTTTTTCTCAACAGGATTATAAAAAATATTGGGTGCGCTTGTCAAGAACCTGGTGATTATATTATTCTTAAGTCCTAGCTCTTGAAAAAATGTTATGTTTGCCTTCTGATTCTGGTGATATTTGGTAGTAAAAAAAGACTCTGGAAATTGCTCTATTAATTTAATCAACTGTTTTTCATTCTGGCATACTAATTGCCACAGAGCTCTTTGAGAGTTTATCTCTTCAGGGGTGCGGAGAATTGCCTCTGGGCAGCGTTCTAAAATGTTAGCTACAGCGGTTTCATCTGCTCCCATTTCTTGCAAGATACCAGCAATTTCTTTAACATAGGCCACATCCTGGAGAAGGACCCATTCCTTCAGTCTGCGTATCTTCTTAATGTCAACTGACAAACCGTAGAGACTCTCAATGGTTTTTTTATTTTCCTCTCTTGACTTTGTATCTGTTGTGTAACTGGAATGTATTAGGAAGCTCCTGCTTGCTACTTCAGGCCATACTGATGAAAATATCAATCCTGGGTTGCAGCACTGAGATCTTGTCGACAGAAGAGCGAATGTGTCTTTTGCAGCGTGAGCGATTCCTCTTAACATTGTGGAAGTCAGCCCTGTGGAGACAGAACAACGGTAAGAAAACACATTTAAAGAATTAGTTAATGCTCAGAATCGTTGATGTTTAGACAGAGCTGGCATAAGAAATTACTCTCACCCGTGCTTTTGTTACTAGCACAAAATCCAGCTTTCACACGAAAGCGAGGGAGGGGAATATTTTTGAAAGGTTAATGTTCTGACAAATGTGTCACTGGAACAGTAACGTGTCTGCAACAGGCCTGATGTAGGGGCAGTGCTCTGTCTATATAAAAGCTTGCAGTCGTACGAGATCCAAACTGTCAGCCATTTTCTGCAGCTAACATTGTTATTACATTAGAGATCGCTCACACCATAAGGGAAAAATGATTCACCCCATTTCATTTGACAGTCATCCCACTAAACTATTAAAAAAAGGCAGCTTAAATATCTTTCTTAACTCTTATGAAGGTATTTGCTTGAACTTCTCAAGCATCATTTGGAGTGTGACTTGTTCCATCATGTGTCAGAGACACCCCCTGCTCAGTGCTGCTTCAGCAGCAGTTCGTAGCCTAACTTCATTTTGAAATCATCGTTATTAAAGAAAAAAAATCACAGAAACCTTTATGTATGTGTTTTTCACTAGCCAAGTCTACTAATTGAGTTCTGAATAAGCACACTGGTATTCTGGGGGAGGGAGCAAGCACACCGTAACATTTCCAGGCGTTCACTTGCCTCTCCCAGCACCTACTTTTCTACAGCTGCTCTTTGCACCAACGCCTTATTTCTACCTCCAGGTTACTTTTGTTGATGCCAACCACCCCCAGTAGGCAGAGTCCTTGTGGAATAGGTACATGGCGGTATTGGAGTCCACATGGCAACCACAGGTAGTTGTGGGCAACCCCACACCTCACCTTTGCTCAAACTGGCTGCTAGGTATCACCAACAGCATATGTGCTGTCACCTGCTCTGCAGTGGCCAAAGGAGCTGCAGCAGTCAAACAGAGATATCATTAAGTGTATCTTTAACTTCCTAGGTGGTGTTTTCATAAGAACCCTTTGGGAGCACTGAGTCTGAAAGGGAGAAGTGCTGATCTGTGAAATACTCAGCAAATGGTTGCTGCTGGGAACATGCTCAAATTGAAAATAAGAAAAAAAAATACAATTTTGCATTTGACAGTTCTGTTTGGGCAGTTGCTTTCACCTCTTCCTAAGTATAGCATGCTTCAAAAAGTACCTACATTAGCATCACGTCAAATTACTTTGGTTGTTTTGGTTTTTTTCAGAAGAGAAATTACTGTTATGATAATGCAGTCTAATCTACAGAACAGACTGAGAAACCTATTGTTGGAACAGCTATACAAGATTCCTAGAATCTATAGTCTGTCTTCTAAGAAAATACCTGGTTTGTTTAGAGAATTTGATAGATTCTCTATCTAGTTGCCAGGTAACACTATATATTTTCCAGAGGTAAAACACTGTCTCAAGAAAGTGTACCTTTGCTTTTAGGTTGCTTTTTTATGCTTATAAAATCTGGACTCGTGTTACTACATCATAAACTAACAGAATAATTTCCTATATGCAAACTTATGTTATTAACAGAAGCTGTTTACTGGTAACTTCTTGTTTGGTATTACTTCAAATCTCTGAGGCAAAATCCAGTTGCCTAATGAAGCTGCTTGTGTCGTAACCCCAAGGCTGCTTATTTTGTCTTCATAAACTTTGTAACTTGAGAAGTGCTCTCCAGCAAGCCCCACCACAGAACAAGCGATTTTTCCCAACAAACCTGAAAGCACTGGAAGTGTAGGTAAGTCACAGACGTTTTGTGTGCTGACCTTTCCATGTCCTGAAAAAGTGACTTTTTCAGGGGAATGCAAACTAAAGCCTCTCCTCCACAGGCAGGAGACAAAACTGCCTGTGTCTGAGCACAGAATTTAGGGGGTCCAGTCAAAGTAAGTAAATCCCTGAAGGATCAGGGCTCTCTTCATTAATGCTTCAGCCCAGCTGGAAATTGCCAGCAAGTATTGTTAAAATTGTATGGCATGTCAGATGATACAGTACAAACTGGAAAAATAACCATGACTTGCTTTTACTTCAATAAGTAAAATAAGTAATCCTGCTCTTAAACAAAATTGCCTTCTGAGTAATGCAGCCATTTAAAATACAGTCATTTTCACTATTACAGAGCTTTTAAAAAATTCTGATAAATTGTGCCCTTCCACAGCCTAACACGGAAATTATTGTTATGCTCACTTAAAAAAGGTTCTAAGTTTTCTGAAAATTTCTGACATCAGTCAATTTTTTCCCTGTTGTGAGGATCATCAGAAACAGAATACTGTAGAAGGAAGAAAAACTTTATTTGCTAAACAAATGCATTTGACTGGAGTACTCAGGAGCCCATGTAATTAAGCACTATGCAAAATACAACATCCAAAAAAGAACATGAATGAATTTTATGTCATGGTGTTTATAGAAACCGAGTGTATTTCCAAGTCTATACGTGACAGTATCACATTTCCACGGTATGTAACCGATTTCAAGAATTCAGAGTTCTTTTAAAGCTCATGCTGGATCTAATGCATGCTCTAACGTGCAGGACCCCACTGTAACTTTTTACATACTTATGTTGCTGTGGAGATTGTAAATCAATTGAGAGATTAAGAAAAAAAAAGCCAGCTCAAACGAGATGTTTGCTCTCACTACCAGCAGCACCCTCCTATCACCAAGTGTTAGAACAGCAATAAGAAAATGAACTAACGTCTATCTGAAAGTACCTGTGATCCTGCTTACTAGAGACCTGTATATACAGAGTAAAGGGGTGCTATAAGTTTCATTATTTAATTTTATCTCATTTAATCACATTATTTATGAGACCTTCTAAAGCAAATGGATATGAGGATCAACTGGCTGATTCATCCCTCATTTAAATGTGTGTTTTAAGACTCAAATCTCATCTTTGAAAATTAGCAACCTCTTACGTTGTATTTTTCGACTGCTACTTTGTGCTGGTCACTACTATTCCCGTTGCCTCACCACAGCAAACTTAGCAGGCTCTGGAAATTAAATGAAACTACAGAAAGCCTAGATTGAACTTTGAATTAACCAGGAAAAATAGGTATCTGTGTAGAAGAAAGCAGTGTACAGAGGATTTGAATGGTCTATGAAGAAATCTAGGAGGCAGATATGTAGTGGTTTTGTAGATTAATGCACAATAGAGTAAATGTTCATACTTCTGCATTTACAGACAAAAAACTGGATTCCTGCTTTGCATCAGTAGTGGAAATGAGGCAAAGAAGGATTACAAGATATGCTAGACCAACATAAAGCTTTCTAGGAAAAAATACAGAGGATTCTAGAATAATCCAAGTTGGAAGGGACCTCACGTGCTCAAAGCAGTGCTATGAAATAAGACCAGGCTGATTTGTCCACAGATGGACCCCACCTGGCCCCTCTGGGTTACCTGTTCTACTGCTCAACTGTCCTCCTAGGGAAGAAGCTTTTCCCTGTATCTAGGAAAAACATTTGCGAAGTGCTTAAGGACGCACCACACTATTTAAACCAATGGTCCTCAAGGGGTGCTCTTAGTATAGAGAAAACAAGGTTCTCCATCACACCCTGCTCCCAAAGCCCGGCCAGCTGGAGGATTCCTCTCTCACCCTTTGGACTGCGCTTGGGGGCGGAGCGGCAGGAGGCCGATGCTTTCCTGTAACCAGCACTGGCGCAGAGGCTGGAAGGCCCGGCAGGCCTCTGCCCGTCCCCGCTACCGCAGCCGGTTATGCCGCTCCTGCCGGAGCCTCCCGGGGCCGACAAGGAGGCCCCGCGCCCAGGGGGGGCCTCGGAACCGCGCGGCCTCTCCCGCTGCATCCCGCCCCCTCCATCCTCACGGGTGCCCGGAGCACGGCAGGGCCAGCGCGGTGCTCGCCGGCCCCGCAGCGGCGGTGCCCCGGGCCCGCAGAGCGGCCGAGCCCCCGCCCGGCCCCTGCCCGCGCTCACCGGCCTCGCCGCCGCCCGGGCCCCGCCGCCGCTGCCGCCCGGGGGTGGGACGGGGATGTGCCCTGTGCGGGAGGCGGTGACCGGGATTGCAGGCGGCAGGACGTGCCGTCCCACGGCACCCGGAACGCACGGCGTCGTCTGGTGCAAAATCACACGGGGTTCCATCGCTTGTTAGAGCAGGGTTTGATGGGACTAGGAGAAGGAAGGTACAGGGGGGTTGGATTAAAACAGCTTTCAGAGAGAATTAGAGTGGTAAATAGAAAAAAAAAATACTTTGAAAGTCTTCTGAAGTAGTATGATGGCAAAGAGTCAAACATTTTAAAGTTAGGTTACTTGTGTGCCTGTATTCTGATGGGAAGCAAATTATTAAGAAATTCTTTACAGAGAGGGTAATCAGGCATTGGAATGGGCTGCCCAGGGAAGTGGTGGATTCTCCATCCCTGGAGGTTTTTAAGATGAGACTGGATGTGGCACTTGGTACCATGGTCTGGTAACTGTGGTAGTAGTGGATTAAGGGTTGGACTTGATGATCTCAGAGGTCTTTTCCAAGTCAGCTGATTCTATGATTCTATGCTCCTTTTGATTTGGTAACACTGAATGACGATAGGTGGTTTGTCTTACATCATCATATTTTTTTTTCATATGATCGCTGACTTATTACAGATTAAAAGAATAAAATTCACGTACCTAGCTGTTGGGTCTATAGTGTTTTGGCTGGTGGCATTTCAGAACTGTGAAACACAGCTTTGAGCTGTGATGATGAGAACCACCTTCCTCTACCTTATTTTTTTCAGCTATATCTACTTGATTTCTCTTCCAGAGTAACAACTCTACAGTCACATAAATGGTTTCTGCACTAGAAAGATTATACTAGGGGCGTTTGGAATTTTTGAACTAACTCTGGGTCTGCACAATCACATCCTTCAGAGAGTGAAAATCTCTGCTGTTCCCTCTGGGAACACTTCTTTTGTCAGCTACATGTTCAGTAATCTGTATTGCATCTGAGAAAAAGATCAGTTGAAGAACTGCTACTGAAAGAAACCATGATGTAGGAACCTGGTTCAGGCTTTGTCTCCTGCATAACAGCTGTTTCAAGAACAGTTAACAATGTTTGTAAATATAATTGCATACAATGATGTTAAAACCAAGCATCTAAAAAATGCTTCCAATTTGTAATATACAATGTATTGGATATTTGATTTTTTATGTTTTTGTTGCTTCGTATCTTCATGTTATCTTTTTTCCCTTCTAATTGCTCCCCACTCTCTTCATTTTTGCAATCACTGTCTGGGCTAAATTAGCAATTGTTAAAAAATAAGTTATTCACAAGAGAACACAGTAGTGAGGTTTACTTTTATGAGTTCCTTGATTAACTGTGATTCTATTTTCTTTTCCAACTAACTTGGAGAGACTCTTCCCTTGAGATTAGACATTTTAATTAATACATTCTTCACCTTCCTTCCACTTCTAAATCAAGAACAAACTGTCTAGCATAGAAGGTATGGCTAGAGCCAAATAGTGTTTTGACATAATGATATGCTAATGATATACTGCAGTTGTTATTTAGCCTGTAGCAACAAACAGCTTACGGAGTGATGGTTTTCACGGTTGCAATTTGCTTATGAAGCCATAAGGTCTAGTGAGGAAGGGCTGCTTCCACCTCAGTATTCCCTCAAAGGCGGATTGGTTGATTCTGGACTTTATTCAGGGCCATCTTCAGTGTGGCAGCCTTGTGGGAGGCTAGCAGGGAACATAAAGAGTATGAATGAGCAGTTTAAAAGTTGAAATAAAAACTATATTGTGAGGTGACTTTCCTTGAAAATAACGACTCTACTTCTTCAATGTGCTCAAAAATTACAGAATTCAAATGAGTTTGATAGGCAGTGGCCATTAACAACCAAATTTTCTTTTTCTATTTTATTTCTTTGACAATTATATACCCAATGTTTGGCATTTCTTAAGGATAAAAATTAAACAAACAAAAAACAGGCATGGAAGAATGTAATTTTTATTAGTTGAGAAAAGAATGTTCAACTTTACAATGCCCCAAACTGCTCCAACTTTTGAGTTGCAGGAAGGGTGTATATGACAGCATCCCATATATTCTTCTTGGACCAGAATGATGAGCTGTGGAGTATGATGTTCTACATATAACAAAGTAATAACTGAAAACCTCATATTTTATGCTATTGTTAAAGTCAGTGCTTAAGAACTGTTCAGCCTCCATACTTTTTAGAAAGAAATTTTGTATAAGACCAAATAGAAAGGGATTCTAATCATGGCTGGGTCCTTTGCTGCTATCATGCCTTGATCATTGATGACATTTTCAACCTGCTGAAAGGAGCTTGTAGCCAGGTGGGGATCGGCAGCAACTAGTGACAGAGCCTCCAGCTGCACCAGGGGAGGTTCAGGTTGGACATCAGGGAGAATTTCTTCATAGAAAGAATTGTTAAACATTGGAATGGACTGGCCAGGGCAGTGGTGGACTCACCATCCCTGGAGGTGTTCAAGAAATGACTGGACATGACACTTAGTGCTATGGTCTAGTTGACAAGGAGATCGGTCAAAGATTGAACTTGATGATCTTGGAGGTCTTTTCCAAGCTAAATGACTCTGTGATTCTGTTACTCTGTTTATTAAGTGATTCAAAGTGAGGAAAGAAAAGTGTGAAGGGACTTTGTTGACTTGACATATACTTTCTGTGTATCTTAGCAGAAAAAATATTTTAGGAGAAAGAAAAACTACAGTTCTCAAAGTACTGTACTGGTCTGGTTCTTCTGGAGGGCAAGAAAAGTCAGTACTGCTGATTAGAGTCCTCTATCTTTTCTGTGAGACATTTTTTCTAATGACAACACTTGCTGTTACTACCCACTTGTCTGTGAACATCCTGGAAGCTGCAGATTTGAGTTGCAATCCACAGCTGTCCTGTAAAGACTCGAAATGGCTCTACTGAGTCCTATCAGTGCGATGCCTCCCTCAGCTGCTGGCCGTGCCCCGAGTAACCCCGGAGCAGGTACAGGGAAACCTGCTGTGTAGGCAGCACACAGACCGTGGTTTGAGCTCTGTAATTAAAAGACGTGAGATATTCACCATTTACTGATAATGAGTTTAGATGGAGAGACAACTCATTCTGCTGCTTTCAAGTGTGTTTGGTCGTGGCAGCACCGCACGGCCGAGCCGCTCTCTCTTGCCCGGGGGTTCCTGTCCAGCACTTTTGCCCAGCCCCTCACGGCTGCAGCAGGCACCGAGACCTCGGCCTGTTTCACAGAATCACGGAACTGAAAGGACTCTCTGGAGAGCCTCCAGTCCAACATCTGCTCCCTGCGCACACGCTTACATAAGCGCCCCGCCTGTTTCCCGCGGGATGGGATGGGACGTGGTCCGCTGGGATCGATGGGCACCGCCCGGGGCCGTGAGCGGGGCCGCGCCGCCGCCGTGGGCGCGCGCGGGGCGCGATACATAACAGCCCGGCGGGCGCGCGCACGCGTGCGCGTCCCGGCAGGAACCGGCGCCACCAAGAGCCGCCTCGCGGCCCCGTGCTCATCCGGGTCCCGCCGCCCCGACCCGCGGGGGGGGGACCAGCCCGCCGTCTCCGCCCTCCCACCGCGGCCCGCTGGCCCCTTGCCGTGCCCGACGGGTGGGACTCCCGCCAAGATCGCGGGCTCTGCGGGCCGCTTCCCGGCCCGGCGCGGGCGCGGGCCCGCCCGGTCCAGCCGTCCGCCCCCCCGGGGCCGGCGGTACCGAACACACCTCAGAAACGTGAGGGCCGGCAGTCACGTGGGGGCGCCGTCGGCCAATGGGCGGCGGGGGGCGGGGCGGAGCGGCCGGCGCAGCCCCGCGCCCGGCGCAGTCACAGGGCGAGCGGCGAGGAGGCGGCGGCATTGGCACGGACGGCGCTTTCCTTGGGCACGGCGCGCTCGCCGCCCCGCAGCCACCGCCGGACACAGCGCTCCCTTCCTCCCTTCGGCCCCGCTCTCCCCGGCGCGGGGGCCCCGCGGGGTGATGCGTCCCCGCTGGGCGGCCGCTCCCGCCGTGTCCGCCGGGTCCTAGAACCGCCCGCAGCGAGGCCCCGCGGGCCGCCCGTCCGCCCGTCCGTGCTCGCCCGGCGGCGCCGGGCCATGAGCGGCCCCGCGGGCGGCGGCGGTTCCCGCTGAGCGCCCGCGCCCGGCATGGGTGTGAACGCCGTACACTGGTTCCGCAAGGGGCTGCGGCTCCACGACAACCCGGCGCTGCGGGAATGCATCCAGGGCGCCGACACGGTGCGCTGCGTCTACATCCTGGACCCCTGGTTCGCCGGCTCCTCCAACGTGGGCATCAACAGGTGGCGGTGAGTGCGGGGCGCCGCGGGGCCCTAATCCCCGCGTTATGTATGCGGTCACGCTGCCTCCCCACCATCCCCTCCCCTCCGCGGCCGATTGGGCCGCCGCCAGCGCCGGCTTCCCCTGCCCGCCCGCCCTCCCCGCGGCACCGCCGCTGTTACGTATCCGGCCCTGCGCCCGCCCGGACCGCGGAGCCCGGCCAGGGAGCGGCGAGAAGGAACCGGGCAGTGCGGGGCCGGAGGGCCGTGGCTTCCCGGGGAAGGGGGTCCTTGTTCCCGGTCCCTCGCCCGCTGCTGCCGGGCGGAAGGTCCCGTGGGGAGCAGCCCGGAGGCCTTGCACTGTCTCGGGACCTCTGGGCAGCTGGGAACCCCAGGGCGACTTCCCCAGCCCCAGGGTGACTCCGTCCCGGAAAAGCTGTGAAGCTGCTCGCTTAGCTCACAAAGCAATTTCTCAGAATAGCGTTCCTGCAGGGAGGAATATCTTGAGTTGGAAGGGACACAAAAGGATCACAGAGTCCAGTTCCTGGCCCTGCACAGGACAGCCCCAAGAATCCCACCATGTGCCTGAGATCAATGTCCAAACGCTTCTCGAGCTCTGGCAGATTTGGTGTGCACTGTTCCTTTCCGGAGCATGCAGATCTCTTCCTACACCTTCAATCCTCCCACTGAATACAGAAATGAACTTTACTGTGGAGCTGTGACTGGTGCTCCCACACTAAATGTGTCCCATAGTAAGGCAGAGGTTAAAGGGACTTCTGGCCATGCTTGTCATGTGAAGTTAGTTAAAACATCACTAAGGATCTGAAAATTGTTACCCTTTAAAAAGGGTTGATAATGCAGGAGGGTTTGTGTCTATCCATCTGGTGTCAGGAACATGAAATGCTTGTGAACTTAGCCTGCCCAGACTATGATGCTATGATTGCCTAATTATGGAACAAGCACAATGAAACTTGGCTTAACATTACATCATAGAAGAGTAACAAAGTTTAGATACGTTTCAGTATGGGTTTCGGTTCACTTCAAGGATTATTTCTTTGAGATTTAATTAATTTGTATCCCAGGTTATTAAATAACTTACCAACAAAGTAACTTGCCTTTGGAGGTTTTGGGGTTTTTTTTCAAATTTTGAGAAGTTTTTTTTATGGTCCTATGTCTGGTTTTCAGGAGATAGAAATACTAAAAATGTCTTCTGTGGAGTTTAACTTGGAGGTTATTCCATTTTCACTGACAAAAATAATGTTCATACCACTGAAGAATAATAATTGTTAAATACTTCCCTTCTCTGAGGTTCATGTTGTACATTTCTTTTATAGAGACTTTTAATTGTTTTAGTTTTGAAGGGGATAAGTTTTTTTAATAACATTTTGACTTATAAAGAAGCTTAGAGGTCTTAGTTTTGTGGACAAAGCATGAACAGCTACTTAAGTTTTAAAAGAATGTGGGCAATTGGCACAAATTTTAAAGTGTTAAGGAAATCAAGTCTTAAGAATACTTCATATGTCTCTAATGTGCTTTGCAGTTGAAATGCTAAACAGTTTTTGCTTATATTCTCTGAGCTAGTGAATGATAGACAAATGCGAACTTTGATTCCAGCAGAAGGAAGTTCATGTCTTGAGTGCTATTTCCATGGTTCTTCAATGACTATGGAATATGATCATTAGCTAATCCAGTCCTTGAGTATGTTTCTGTGTGATATATTTGCTGGTTGGTTTACTTTAACAGTGTTCTTGCTGTTCTAAAAGACAGCTAGTCCCTCCACTGCATTCTGCATTTGAAGAAAACCACCTTTTTTTAGTTGCTGGTTAGAGGGACTGAATTTTTGGGTAAATTACAACTCCCCTATCCAAAGCAGTTCAGATGGTCTCCTGGGGCTCAAATGTCCTCGAGGCACAAGCTGCACATGGATTTGAGTAGAAAATCTTGCTGCCTGCATAGCCTGCTTTTGTGAGATCTTCAGGTTTTTTCAAGTTTAAAAGAACCATAACTTTATAGACTAACTGGCTGCTAAAGCTGTATGTTTATTATGGTGGTTCTTAATAAATTTATATTTAAATGAACAGTTACTAGTTTGGTATGAATCCATTTTAGGTTCCAGTAGTTTGAGTTTATTTTTAACTAATGCAAACACAGATATTCACAGAATGTATACACAAGACTTATGATGCAGTTTTTTGGTTTGCCAGTCTCATTTCACACTTGTAATTAATGATCAAGCATTTTATGTTTTTGGTCACTTGATGACTGTCAGCAAGATCCTTGCTTACATGTCTGTGGAGTAGTGTGTTGAATTAGTTGAAAACATATTAGTTAAGACTAAGAGCAGAAGCCCTTCAGCATTAGGAACATGAGTCAAATTTAATCTCCTGGTGTGAATTTACGTTGGTCCTTTCCTAATTTGAGTTGATTGACACCAAGAGTTTATGTTCTGGTCTGTGTATTGTCCTAGTGCCCTTGGCAAAAATCTTCTCTGTCAAAGTATGACTAACACAATGGATATGAGGAAAAATGGTGAAAGAATACAATAAACCAGAAGGTTTAGTTTCTTGTTAGAGTAAACTCTGCAGAGTCACAAGTTACAGTTCATTTTAACAAGTATGTGTTAAATCTGGCAAATAGCAACCTTTAGTACAGAGGTGCTTTCTGATTAACTTTTTAAACAGTCATGTAACAATTGCGAACTAATATTTTTGTGTAATTGCGCTATTGTGCAAGTCTAATTACTAAGCAGTCACATGGTCTTACTGACCTCCTTTCTCTTGGCATTCAGCCTACCTGTTCTAAATTCATGAATGCTACGTAACAAATGCCAGGGCCTCCCTCAACTCACTTCGTTTTTTTTCCTGGTTCTGTTCTGTTTCTTCTTATTGTTCCTTTTTTCAAGTTGTCACATAGATCAAGATATGCTTTCGTTGAGACATGTTTTTTCTATGTAATGAGTTCACAGTGTTGTTCACAGATCAACACCTGAGAGAGAGAAGTTATTCGGTGCAGTAAAAAGTGATGGAGAAATGGTGGAGGGAGATATTAAATGGAAAATCAAGCTAAGGCTCTCTTAAAGAAAGTTTTGTCAATTGCTATTAAACATTTGGCACCAGAATTAGCTCACATCTAATTGTGTCAACAGAGTACACAAAGAATGTAACTTGCATACTCCAACAAGTAACCATTACCTACTTCTGAAAAAATCTGTTTGTGCTCACAAACTTTTCCATATTAAGGAGAATGGGATCTCATGTTTTGCAAAATCACTTAGGGAAGGGTTTCATTTAGCCCTGGTTTTAGTAGAGAGTGGCAATTGATCACAATACTTGAAAAGAAATGCAAACATTCTGTTAGTTGCTGCATAAGAATTTACTTTGGGTAATAATTTACTACTTTTAGTTTGTCTTTTTGACTGTGTATGTATGTCTTTGATATGCTAGTTAAAATGCTGGTGTGCAGAAATTGATTTTGTAAAGATAGATACTCTGATCTTGCCAAGCCTTGTCTTTCTTTTTTTAATCATTCCTGAAGAGAACAAATTTCACTTCTAAAGTAAGAGCAATAAAATTTATTTTGTATATCTATTAGATTTTTTGATAATATTGATGTGTTCAACATCCCGCTAAGTTAGCTGCTATTGTGGCAGATATTGCTATTGATTTAGGAGAAAGAAAAGCTGTGGGTTTGTTTTTTTTTTTACACTTGTATTTCAAGCATATGAAAAATGAAAACCTGAGCAAAAAAACCCAAACCAAACCAAAAAAACTCAGAGTTTTATTTCCAGGACAATCACTGCAATTCATGGAAATTGGAACTTGTTTTAAAAAATTAATACTTAGACATCCTTTAGTAGTATCTATTTAATTTTTCTATTTTGTGTGTCTCGTTTTGAAAATATGCTTATAGTTTCATTTTATGTAGCTATGATTTGTCCTGTTTGTTTGGATGGAAAACTGGTGGAGAAAGTTTGTCAACAAAATTATTCTGTGAGTAGTTTCAGTTTCACGTCTGTACTTCAGGCAGGCAAAATTTGTGTATTGTACTTATTAATTTTGGTGACATGCTTGGTATGTTAAAAGGAATGCACTGAAATATTTGACTTCCCTGCTAAAGACATCTCTTTAAGTTTCTTTTCATGCTGTAGCACTTATGATGAAAATCTATTTGATTTATGAAATATTTAACATCAAGCCCACCAAAGGCTCTCTGTCACTCCCCTCCTCAGTTGGATAGGGAAGAGAAGATACAATGAAAGGCTTGTGGGTTAAGATAAGGACAAGGAGAGGTCATTTAGCAATTACCATCACAGGGAAAATGTATTAATTTAGCTTAATTTATTACCAATCAAATCAGAATGGGCTAATGAAAAATAAACTGAATTCTTAAAGCACCTTTCTCCCATGCCTCCCTTCTTCCTGGGCTCAACTTTGCTCCCATTTTCTCTACCTCCTATCCCCCAGCAACACAGGGGGATGGGGAATGGGGATTTTGGTCAGTTCATCACACTTTGTCTCTGCTGCACCTTCCTCCTTGGAGGGGAGGACTCCTCACAGTCTTCTGTGCTCTAGTGTGGGATCCCTCCCAGGGAAGACAGTCCTCCACAAACTTCTCCAATGTGAGCGCTTCTCGTGGGCTACAGTTCTTCATGAACTGCTCCAACATCGGTCCCTTCCACAGGGTTCCACCTGTCAGGAACTGACTGGTCCAGTGTTGGGTCCCCTCTGGGGTCACAAGTACTGCCAGCAAACCTGCTCCAGTGTGGGTTCTGCCCTGCACGGGTCCACAGGTCCTGCTGGGAGCCTCATCCAGCACTGGCTTCCCACAGGGTCACAGCCTCCCTTGGGCAGTGTAGGAATCTCCATGGGCTGCAAGTGGATATTTGCTCCACCATGGACCTCTGTGGGCTGCAGGGGGACAGCCTGCCTCACCATGGTCTTTACCATGGGCTGCAGGGGAATCTCAGCTCTGGCACCTGGAGCACCTCCTCACCCTCCTCTCTCCCTGACCTGAGTGTCTGCAGAGTTGTT